TTCCGTTTCCTTGCTTCCCTGATAATTACAATCCTAAGATTTTAAATGTAACGTTAATCGCCGTCTTCTGTTTGTTAAATATGTATTATCGTTATCAATATTACAGCTCCAATTTCAACCTAGAAATTTCAGATAAGCTGTGGACGATTATGGATCTCCACAACTTTCTATCCTTTGTAGATCTTAGTAAATTTTGCCTTTTTGCTATTCCATCCCCACACCCGTTCCACAATTTATTCCTGCCCACCAGTAGATTTTCCACTTCCTCCCACTTTCTTTTTTGTCTATGATATTCCCTGTGAGTGTCAATTTCTCCTGCTTCATATGAAAAAGAAGAAGAATTTTGCTCTTTGTAGATAGTTTTAATCTGTAAGTTTATGAGGGCTTGCCATTAAAGTTGGACCTTGACCTGTCTAGCTTTGAGATATTTTCTACTTATAGCAAAAGCGAATACATTGATAACTAGAGATGTTTTAATGCATATAAATGACTCAACAGTTATATTTACAAAGTAAACATTTTGTTTTATTAATTTCACCCCAAGCAAGGCGATAATGCCACTAAGACTCAGAGTGTTACTGTGAGTGAAAGAGAATGAAAACACTTTAGTGAAGAGAAGGGTCAATAAAAGAACAAGTTTCAGAGAGAGAGAGAGAGAGAGAGAAAAAAAAAATGGTGATAGGCGTTGCCTTTAGATTTTTACAGATTGTACGTGACAGGGAAGCAAAACAAACGGAATAGAGTTCCACATGCGAGAAGTGCGAGAAAAGAAACTACTATAATACAATACACAGTTGCATATTTCTCGTTTAACAGTAAAACGGTGCAGCCTAGTTGCAAACCTAGTAGTACGCTTAAATTCATACTGTGCATTATGGGAGAGAAAACATAAAACAACACAAAATTAGAAAGATTTTATTGAAAGACGCTAAGAGTTGAAGAAGAGGGTACAATCGATAAAGATATGGTTCTAATAACGAAACCCGAATATATGTCTGACAGAACATGTTAGCAACCAGGAGGTATTAAGGGAAACAGAAGCTACAAAGAAACTACTGTTAACATTCAGAAAAATAACAGCTAACATGTTTTGGATACCTAAAGAGAAAAGAAGGCTTGAAGAATGTTACACTCACAGAACATATTGAGGACAAAAAAAAACAGAGGGAAACAACTAGTAACTAGCTTACGTAACACGTCTGAATAAATGGATGAAAAAACAAGGACCCCCAAAGCAAAATAGGCTTGATAAATTTGTATAAGTCATTTATAATACGAAAAAAAAAACAGGAGGTTGTGCCTACGTCCTGAAATTACATAACAAAAAAAAGAAGAACGTATTTATTATAAATTTAAAATTTCGTAACTTATTTTACACTAGAATATTTTATACATGATTTTAAAAAACACTTTAATAAGTAACTGCACGAGAATAAGCTGCGCTTCGTGTAGTTTCGTTCAACATCTACATTACTAAAAAAAAAAGAAGAAAAGAATTAACCAAATAACTAGAGTTCGTAAATATCTTTGTCAGATCGAGACTTTCGTTTGTATAACATGTATTGCGCCAACTTCGTTCACTAATATCTAAATTGTCTGCTGTACACAACCACTTTCTCAGATCAATAGTTAAAAGTAACTTCTCGGTAATGAAGAATATTGGTGATAGCATGGATCATCCTTCTTCGAACTCAGTGGACTGACGCTACAGAATCACAAACAATTCTCCAAAAATAAGAGAAACTATATTACTTGAGGACTTTCACCAGCAGCAATAACTAAAATAGATATCACACGTAACTCAAAGAGAAAATCATGACATAATTAAGATGTTGATATTCAACACTACTTAAAAGAAAAGTTTCGAAAGGAAACCCAATATTCTGGAAAGAGCGATAAGAGTCTAATGACTTAAGAAACCTATTCTAAAAAGCCGTAAGTTGGAATAAGCGTTTTGTTTTATATTTATGGCATGTTTTTCATGATTTTTTTTCCGTGTTTCTGTTTTTCTTTCTCATATATTTTGTCAATCGGTATATCTCTTTTTCTCGTGTCTTTATTCCTACCATTAGTTTTTGGCTTTATCAGCGTTACCAAAAGAAAATACAAAACAAAAGTACTTTCTTCAAAGTGGCAAGGTAAGAAAGAGGTGATAAAATGGACATGAATTCCCACTCCAGACAATATCTTCATCTAAAAAAATAAATTAAAAAAATAACAAAAAAAAAAACATCACAATAAGAGATTTTCTTTTGATTCTGTCTTTATCCGAATCTACAACAGCAGTCATGGCTGCATCGGTCCGAGCAGACCACAGCACAATAAGAGAAATTAACGCCAATAATAAGTGTCTAGTTTTGAAGTGCAGTAAGGCACCGGACTGGACCATCTATGAACTGGCGAGTAAACGACTGCATCGTTGGGGCAATGGTCCGTCGAACATTGGGACAAGGCTAAGACAATGGACGAGCGGCAAGACTGATCTTTGGCCCTCTTAATGGAGTCCCGTCGTAATTGACATGCAATTACTTTGTCATTTACTTCAAAAGAGGAGAGGTCCCGAAGCCTGCAAACTTTATTTACATTGTCTCTGCTGACAGCATGGAATGAGGCAGATATAATTACGAGGTGATATCCACTATTTTATGCCAACACTGTCTACAATTATAGATATTGCCTCTAGTGTTCAAAACCGGTCTCTACTTCAATTTTTGCCTTCTTTTCTTTTCTGTGTAAGTAGAGCAATACTACTGCTACTACTACTACCAATAATAATAAAAATAATAATAATAATGATCTTTGAAGATCTTTAAAAAAACTACCAAAATACAAGTATCTAGAAGAGGAAAACTAAAAAAAAATATGCTACATTAGGACATCAATAAGTTGTAGTTAGAGCGCTCGGATTGATTGGAAAAGGCTCCGATAGACTCATTGAAGGGATTCTTGGTAGTCCATACCTTAAAGAAATACAACAAATTGTACTCAAGTACAGCACACACATTACAAAAGACTTTATCTATATAAAATCTGTGCGATCTTATTTTTATAATTTTTTATAAAAATGATCAATGGACAATGTCATGAAGCCATTTCTGACCTTATGTCTCTGGTTGGGACCCGAAAGAAAATGTATTACGACAGAAATCAAAGTAAGTAATAATAATATTAATAATAACTGATGTTAATAATAAAGGGAATAAATTTTCTAATTTTAAAATATTTACGCTAATGAAATTCTGTATTAGATTAAATGACGTAAAACGATTTTAAATATTTCTTAAAATATAACTGAAATATCAACAGCTATGGTATATAAAAAAAAAGACATCGTTCTTTTAATTGTCAAAGCTGTCGAAGAAGCTATAAATTCCATTGACACTAGGATGGCCGAGGTGTCGTTTTCGACACCTTTAAATTTTTAACAAATTAATATGGAATAACTAGTTTTGGTTCGATGCTGAGGCTTATGGACAATTATTGAATTTTAGCAAAGTTGCTTAACAGACTTAATTCTTTAAAAAATATTCAGTGGAATAGCTGATATTTGAGGTTTTACCTTGAATGGCCGAGGTGTCGTTTTTGACACCTAGGCTAATTGTAGGGTAAATGCATTGAAAAATTTCTCACAAGCAATAATACTTGTGTTTATTTCCCCTATCTATCTATCTATCTATCTATCTATCTATCTATCACACACATAATTTTATATATATATATATATATATATATATATATATATATATATATATATATATATATATATATATATAAATCACTTTCTTTCAGTATGAGGTATACTAATATTTGTGAATTTCTTTTCAGACTTGTTATTCCTGATTTGAATATTGAATACTAGCAGGAGAGCCCGACGTTGCCCGGGGATGTAACAGTAAGAGATAGATCAAGTATCGACCATCATAAAGACTGAAAAATAAAATTAACAATGATTATTGTTTAAGGTTGACGGACACGCATGTCTTAATTAGTTTTTTTTTTTGTTTTTTTTTACGAATTGGTCAAACCGAAACTCAAACAAAAACATTGTTTTCAATCGTTATGAGTCTATCGATTGAATAGAATTTTATTATAAACAATTGTCTTGTAAATGGAATTCTTAAAGCATTCTGAATGTAAAAATAAAGAAAAAAGTGTGCAAGACAATAAGAAACACTACCTGCCAAAAAAAGTGAAGTTTTGTTGAAATCAGTTAAAAAATGTAGGAAATCTGATCCCATATATAAAATGAACACACACACACACACACACACACACACACACACACACACACACAAACAAACAACCTGGGTTTTATAATAAGTATAACTCGATATGAGTTGTCCCCCTTTCATTCTGGCGACAGAATCGTGTTTTATCGTGTTTTCAAATTGATTTCGTGCAAAAATAACTGTGTTTTTCCAGTGTTTGGCGCTGTCAGAACCACCGCAAGGTAATTTTACTCAGTCCTGTGAAGTTTTGTTGAAATCGGTTGAAAAATGTAGGAAATCCGATCCAATATATAAATGTACAGACACACACACACACACACAATCTGCGTTTTATAATAAGTAAGATATTAGAGATGGCTGCTTCACGGTGTAATGTAAATAAAGAAGTCAAAAAAGCTGGCCATCCTAGTGTTAAGAAAGCTATTAACGGATACATGCATTTTTAAGCATTTATTGGGCTTTTTAAATCGGGCATTAATTCTTATTACTGTAAAGGTTATATTTAATGGATACACGGGTTTGGATATAAAATCCAGTTCTTTTTTTATTTAAAACACGAAATTAATATTTGACGCAACTATATAAAAGTCTTAATGAAGAAAAGAGAATTCGAACTTGTATTCACTTTTTAGTCAGTAGGAAAACGGTCTCAAGCCAAGCGTGATTTACGATTAAGCTACAGCAAAGTAAAGTTCAATTGCCCTTCTTAAGAAATATGCACATCTCGTCTGAACCTTTCGGAGTTTATATCTACTAACTTCTTTTCAGGCTTACAGCCACATCACGTTGAAACTCCGGATCCCGTAAGATAAACGAAGTTAAGTATCGTCATTCCTGGTCAGTACCTAAATGTGTGGCTGCTTGGGAGTACCAGGTGTTGTAAGCTTGGAAGTGCGGTTGGTGTAATGGATAAAGGTTCGGATTTGTAAATCGGAGCGTCGAGTTCGAATTCCTGTTGGGTTCGTTATATTCACTTAAGCGCAAATACCCTTATGAAAGGTATGAATCTACCTGTTCTCCACCCCATCTATGGATTAATTAGAAAGAATTGCATCAATAAACCATTATTAACTCCCCTCCCCAATACTTACGATCTAAGAATATTTTCTGGCCTTGAATAACATACAAAGGGTTCCCAAAGCGTAGAAAATTAATCAATCCAAAAACAGAATTAAATTAACAATAGCAAAATTTATTGTTAATAAATATGTGTGACCTAAAAAATAATATGATCTGAAGTTATCGCTACCTTTAGTTTAGCGTTTCTTTGATGCGTAATGATACGATGTTTGAAAACAAAATAACATAACTAATAAAATCCCAATTTCATGCATATCAACCATCCGTCCTTGAATGAAATATTGCTATCATATATAGTCTGCTGCTCCCGCCGTACGTCCCTTGGTCCCAGACAAAATCCAGAAACGCAATGCGATAGGTCCTGATCTCGGCATCCCGTCTACAGTCGTTTTCTAACAGACGTGCCCTGGTTTACCTTTGTCTCTTCAACAAGTATTTTCTTTTCTTGTCTGTAGAACTCCCTTCCTCTTGCTTGCTTCTTTGATAATTATAATATTCAAATATTCAAGTGTAATGTCAATCGACATCTTCTGATACTTTGTTCTTGTTACTCGTCCTTCTTTGTATCCTTTCCTCAAACGCACTTCTTTACACTTGTTCTCAATCCTCTGCAACCCCTTGCGTGCTTGTGGCACTCCCTCCTTGCTTGTGGTGAATTGCTTAAAGATATATACGAGAGTCATTCAATAAATAAGGTGAATTTTTCGGTATAAGGACTTCTAATACAGATAGAAGCTTATTTTTTTTTTAATTTTTCAACGTAGTCTCCCAGCACTGTCACACACTTTTCCCATCTGTGAACAAGCTTCCGTATTCCCTCAGCGTAAAAATCTTTGGACTGATATCTCAGCCAGTCGCTCACAACACTTTTGACTTCATCGTCACTTTTAAGCTTCTTGCCTCCCGTGAACGCTTTCAAGGGACCAAACAGGTGAAAGTCTGAAGGGGCAAGGTCTGGGCTGTAAGGGGGATGAGGGAGCAGTTCCCAGCCCAGCTCGTTGATGGCCTGCACCGTTTGGGCTACTCTGTGAGGCCTTGCGTTGTCATGATGCAAGATGACTCCTTCTGACTGATGACCCTGTTCTTTATGTCTTTCTTGACCTGCCTCAGCAGTTCTTAGTAGTTCTTCTGTCAGACTGAATGAGGTCATTGACTGATTCGATCACCTCAGGAGACCTCACTTCCGTAGGCCTCCCAGGCCTGTCTTCATCCTCAACACTGCTCCGTCCTTCTTTAAACAATTTAGCCCACTTGTAGACATTTTTTGTCTGAAACATGTGGCACCATACACAGTTGACATTCTCCTATGAATTTCAACTGGTTTGCACCCTTCAGCAACCAAAAACTTGATAACTGGCCGCTGTTCAATCCTGGAGCATGCTTCTTGGTCGGCCATCTTTGTTAATCGCCAAAACTCTCAAAGTTTTTTTTTAATCTGCAAAAGAAATTAAATCCATGTGAAAAAGAAGTTTCTATCTGTATTAGAAGTCATTATACCGAAAAATCTACCTTATTTATTGAATAACCCTCGTATATATATATATATATATATATATATATATATATATATATATATATATATATATATATATTGTAGGTTTAAAAATGACGTATTTCATTAACACCTTGCAAAGATGCCTGACAATTGATATCCACTGTCTATAATAATCCAAATGCAATTCATAAAAGTTACATGAAAAATGGTTTACGCGTAGGTGTGTACGCCGTGTAAACTTGTTTAACAATAACTAAACCGAGACAAAAATTATTGTAGAAGTTTGTTAGTATATATGGCTCACCGGTAGCCACAACCGATATCGGATGTTAAAAAAATCTACGCTTGTGTCGGTCGTAATGGGTTAGTAAATAGCGACTGCTATTTATTAATAAATGTTTTATAACTGTAGATAGTATCCCGTAGCATACTAATAACTAATAACTAACTAATACATTATGAATCATTCTGTCGATTTCTGTCTATATTTATACTGTGAAAAGATTCCGTTCAAGTGATATTATTCGTTTGGTGCGGTCGGCATACGGTCGTGGCAAATTTAATTATATTTGTATAGCAGCTAAAATGATGATAGCGAATATGAGAATTGTCGGCGGGGTTTAAATAGCAGCTTACTTCTTTCTTGTTGCATGTGTCCTGTCCCTTCAGAACGTGTGCGATTATGGTTCTCCACAACTTCCTGTTTTTATAGCCCTTAGTAAGGTCTATCTTTTTGCTATATCTCCTAATACCTGTTCTAACAAGCCATTAAACAAACTCGTAAGTTATTCACTGTTTTTTTTTCTGTTTCTCTTGCCTCCATTATGTCACGTGTCAAATCCCTCTTTCCACATTATGGGCTCCAATAATTTCAAATTATTTCTGGTGCTATGTCCTTCTTGTTTTCCATTTTCTCTAAAACTTTGTCGTGTTCATTCAATGTTATTCTCGGCATCCTTCTGTAGAACCGTATTTCTCTTGCCTCCAGTTTCTTCTCCATCTGAGATTGTCGGGCATTCACTGCCATATTGTAGCAGGCATCTTACTGAATACTTCAGAAGAACATTGGGTCCGGCTTTCGTAGCGTTGCCAAAACAACCTCTGATGTGAAAACTGTTGAAAATTTAAAGCTTAATGCAGAATAAAAAAAATTATCATAGTATAGTTGTATGAAATTAGGCGGACAAATAATGGATACATAAGGATCGAGATTTACCATTTTTTGTCAAATTAATGTCATTCTCAATTCTATTCGGTTAAAATGCGTAACTGATGCTAGTTTAGAAGAGTCGAGGATTGGACAGATACGACAGATACGACATAAATGCAAACAAACAGTATAAATATTAATGTTATGGAATTTTGATTTGACATTAATGTGTTTTGAAAGATTTTCTTTATTCCAAGCGACAAAAAGCACCAACTTTCTCTTTTCAATTCCAATTGCTAAATTTTAAATATTTTTATAGTTCAAGAGATAAAGGCAGTTCCTATCTTTGACGAGTTTCAGAATATTTGATTCGAGTTCATGTCTCGTCAAATAATCGTTCTTAATTTCGGATCCCCACTGCTTCTTTGAACTTTCACAAAATATAAAGACGCCATTGTTAAGATAAAATAAAAAAGGACAACAATAAGATGAGAAGGAAACGAGTCAAAAAATCAATGAAGAAGTTACAAATGGTTCAAAACGTTTCCATTGTATAAGTTTGTTAATTAACAATAGTTATTTTTTTTAAATATTTCATAACTTAGGGAATACACTCCTTCAATTACCCGTATTCAAACTCAGGAACAAAAGAAATCTCAATTTTAATTGATAACGCTAACTGAAGTGTGCTGAACTGCTATGTAATATCAATCCTCAAATACAGCAGTAATTACTGGCAATTTTCTCACTGATGAAGAGGAGGCTTGAGGTAACAGTTGTTCTACAGAAGGATGATGAAACTGAAAATGTAAGCAACAACAAAGTTTAAAGGAAAATGGAAATAGAAAAGACGCTTTTATTTAGAATCAGAAAGAGTTGAAATTTCTAAAGCACATATCGAGGGAATAAATTTTGCAGAAAATGAGACTCAGAAAAAATATTAAAGTTAAGTAACATGTGTGTATAAAAAATTGTTATTTTTTTACAATGATTTTCACCTTGTATAAAGCCAAAGAGCCACTCGAGGTAGTGGGTTACAGAGTATGTGTCACAGGTTATGCGGATAGATAACGATTAACCGGATAGATAACGGTTAGCCCTAGACATGAACAGATTAAGATTGTAGTGATCGGGAAAGCATCCTCTTGGGAGTCAGTTCCACAAAGCAGCGATTCGTGGGAAGAAGCTGTTCGAGTTGAACTTATATCTCACCAGTGGAATACGAAGGGAATGAGGGTATCTCGCTACGATGTGCTTAGCATGATGGGTCTTAGACGCGAAGGTTAGAACTGGTGGAACTAAAGAATATAGTTCGTCTGAACACTTTCTACGGAAATAGCGATAGATCAACGTGAGGCTTGCGATATTTCGTCTGTAAAAAAAGAGGTTGCACAGGGAAAAATAATTCCTCACTCACGAGGACGTGGAAATGATTTTGGACAATAAAAAGTGAAGGTCCTGCTCAAATCTGGCAGCAGTCCACCATCTTTTTCATCCTGATCTGCCTCCTATAAAGGTAGATGATAGCAGGGAGAGCGCTTACAGAGAACCGACCATTTTCCCATTATCTTTAGTAATGGGTCGTATGTAATAATTCTACTTGAGGTCTAGGTTGATTTTAAGTACCAATGGATGCTCAAAGCACGAAGCCTCCCTGAGGGAACATTGGTGAATTTTTTTCGTCCAATCGGCGATAGTAGAAGGTTTACTAGTTTGGTTTTCGAGACATTAAATGTGACCAGCCAGTTTTTCACACACTGGTCAGATTCAGAGGAGAGATCATCTGCCAAGCTCTACTTATCTAGAGTTTTGGAGGTGCGCCTATGGCAAAACACGGATTGAAAGTGATAGAAGACAAATATTTCTTATAGAAACAAATGATAGGATCAAGTGGAGAGCCATGATCGACCAAGTCTTGAAGGAACATATCACAAAATAATTACACAAAATAAACAAATAAGAATAACGACAAATTTTTAATGTTAATAATAATAATAATAATAATAATAATAATAATAATAATAATAATAAATTCAAAAGAAAATTTCAAGGGGGTGAAGAATTGAAAATAAACCATAATACATCTATTGCAGCGTCAGAGAACCTAAAAAAAGAAAGGAAATGCAAACAGAATGTACCAAATGCAGAAACGAAGGCAAGATAAGCATCTTCCATTTTCAATACTCTGCCCGTACCAAACAGTGATTACCTAGAACAGGGTTAAAAACTAAAACCGAAGGTTTTATTCTTAATGCTCAGGACCAATGCTTACTAAATAGAATATAAGGATTTTGAAGTGGAAATCTAAAAAATGTGGTACATGAGGACATCAATAACTATAGTTGTAGTTGGAGTCTTCAGATTGGTTGGAAAAAGTTCCGAGAGATTCAGTGAATTGATTCCTGATAGCCCATTCCTTAAAGAAATACAAGTACAGCTCACATATTACGAAGAGCTTTATATATATATATATATATATATATATATATATATATATATATATATATATATATATATATATATATTTAAGTCTTACCCCAAGCAAGGCGGGAAGCCACTAGGACGCATGGGGTTACAGAAGATTTAGAGCAAGAGCAGATAGTAGTGATAGAGGAAAGGATGAGGAGGAAAATAGTGGATAGATCAAGACAACTGGAGATGTCGATTGACATTACATTTGAACAGTTGGAGCTCCCAGGGAAACTGGAATAGGGAAGGGAGTTCCATAGGCGAGAGGTGCGAGATATGAAGCTATTGAAGTAGAAGAGACGGTTACATTTAATAGTTTCAACGGTGAAAGGGTGAGTGCGGGATGCCAGCCACGTAGGGCGCTTGAATTCATGAAATCTGGGAACCAGCGAATGCAGCTCCTCGGAGCAATTACCATGAAAGTATTTGTAAAAAAAGACAGAGAGAGGCGACGGCGCGTCTGTGAGAGAGCGACTGTAGACGAGATGCCAGAACAGGGTCAATGATATTGCATATCCGTCTCTGGATCTTGTCAAGAACCCCGAGGCAAACAGAAGGGGTTCCAGACCATATATGTCAGCAATACTCCATGCAAGGGCGAATTGTTGATTTGTAGATCTGAAGGATCGATTCCGGGGAGATGTGTGATCTTAGGTATTGGGTTTTTATTGTTGTTGTTTTTTTTTGTTTTTGTTTTTACAAAAATGATGTGTCTTCATGACATGCCATGAAGGCTTTTCTTACCTTAAGCTGGGACAAAGAAGGAAATGTGTATACAACAGAAATCAAGGAAAATAATAATAATAATAATAATAATAATAAAAAACAACTGTATTATTTTACCATTATTATTAATAGTAGTAGTATTCATAAGCGATATCATTTGGAATTTACAGGACCTCAACTCCGGATAGTTCTAACTGTGAACCCCATAAGCTTTTCTGTGTCTGTATATTAGGTCGGAAGTGAACATAACTCAGTCGAAAATCGAACTCGTTTCGCCAATTTTTCTTGTCAGGCTGCTAAGCTTTACACTATCCACACACCCAATTATTATTAGTAGTAGTAATGCAACTGCTTGCTTGTTTTAAACAGATATCTCGCCGTAGTTTCTGAAAATTGAATGATAAAACCCTTCTTATATTTATATGAGGCCTCAAACAAATCTAGACTAAGAGATATGTGTTAGAAGGATTCGAACTCGAAACCTGTTAAACACAAAGCACCATCTCTTTCTCGCTACTTCACACACAAAATAAAAATGTTTCAACCGAATAGTTCTATGTCAAATTTAAATAAAGCCAACTCACGAAAATTAAGAAAACACTCCACTCCATTAATAAGTCACAGCTGCTGGACACCCACTGAGAATTTAATAGTAAAAAATCTCAAAAAAAAAAAAAACAGGCTTGCAACTCTTTTTCTCAAGTATATGAACCTTGACAACGTCAGATACGCAGATGGCACCTCGTTGATGGCAAACAAAAAACAAATCTCTGGAACGCCTATAGAAAGTATTAAGGAAAGTGGGAAAGAAAGGACAAATAATCAATTGTAAAAAGACAGAATATTTGGTCGTTAGCAAAAGAGACAACCCAAGATGCGAGCTGCAGATTAGAGACGACACAATCAAGCAAGTACAGAAATGTAACTATTTTGAAAGTGTTATAAACGACGATGGAAAATATGACATTAATTTGTAGGCAAAATAGACGCAAAGACGTCTTCCAAAAACTGAACAATGTATTAAGAAACAGGAAAATTTCATTAAAAACAAATACAAGATTGCTGAACAGCGTTGTATCCGTAATATCAATCCTGCTATATGGTAGTAAATACTGGACAATTTTGTCACAGATGACGAAGAAAGTTGAGGTGAAAGAGGTGTGGTTCTCTAGAAGAAAGCTAAAAATACAATGGATGAAGCCTCCACATACAGAGAATCCGAAAAAGATAGTTGAAATTTCTAAAACGATTGCAACTCGACATAAATGAAAAAATATAGGAATTTATATTCGTACATTTTTATCCATGATTAGAACTTTTAAGTACATGCTGCAAACACACACACACACACACACACACATATATATATATATATATATATATATATATATATATATATATATATATATATATATATTGAGGCAAAATTGGTTGAATGGTTTAGACAAGTTTGTCTGCTTATTTTCAACAGGATCCGTTCTGGTATTAAACAAAGAGAGGACATATTGTTTCATTCCAAGTACTTTCGACATTAACCCAATGTCATCCTCAGGGTTTATTTTTAAGACAAGAATGTAGTGTTTATTATTTCCAAAGACAAAATTACTATGTTCATCTGAAAGTTATAATTTTACATGTGGAGTGAGGACCGCTAGTTTTTGTTCCTTGCAGTGTATGTTACACTAGTGCGGTATATGTTACTATGTTTTGTTCTCTAGGGGAGGTAACTAATTATAATATGTGAAGAGTTCTTTTTTTTTTTTTTTAAAAAAAGAATAACATAGTTTAAGACTCTATTAATACATACCTTGATATTTTAGTCTATCTATTTAAAACATTGTAAAACATTTGTGCAGTAGTCATAATTAATTTTCTTATGGTTTGGTTTCAGTTTTCAATATAGATGACTTCAAGGATTTTTAGTTTATGTTTTCATGAGAAAGTATGGATGTATTTTCAACAAGAATTTTTTCTAAATTGAGAATGTGGATAAGCATGTTGTTGTAAATGTTTAGAGATGTTAGACATGTCATTCAAATGATGTGAGCTTGTAGCCTTGGGTTTCACGCGACGAGCGCAAAGTGCGTGAAACCCAGGGTCATAAAATCACATCACTCCAACTAAATATGTTAGCTCTATCACTGATATGGGGCGCTTTCCAATAAGTACCGCGCATATATAGTACATAAATAATATATAGAAAAATTGCATATATTTATATACATTATATATATATATATATATATATATATATATATATATATATATATATATATATATATATATGAGGTGATATATAAAATTTTAGTATATTATGAAAAGTATTAGCCTAATTTGCATCATTAGCTTCAAATCAACTCATTGTTTATGTACTGCTCACAAAAGTCAGGGTCACTTTTCTCTGCTACAGTTAAAAAATTCTATGAATTCGCGCAGTTCATTTAATCGGTGATCTCTCAAAATAATTACACAATAAAATTACCTCATCAAGTTTTCTCCCATTTACACGACATTTTTAGTGTCGCCCTGTTAAGTACACACACACACACACACACACACATATATATATATATATATATGTGTGTATGTATGTATATTCGGCTTGTTCAAATGCGTGTACCAGCCGTCTAAGTTCTAAAACCCTTTCGCATGCATATGCTACATTTAATAAAAAATATATTAATATTTTCCCTTTATTGAATCTTCGTCCATTCTGCAATTGCTATGTTTTCTCTTTAGAAAATAGAAACAAAGAAAACAAGGCGTTATTTGAAGAAAAAAAAAGGAAATATAAAATAAAGATACTGACAAAAAAAATTTCTAAAACGAGAATACGTAAGTCAAATGGTTGGTTGAAGAAATATTGCCGCGCGCCCATGACAGGAACTTACTTTTTTTTTATTTCTATTGACTTTGGTTCGCCCGCCCACTTGTATAGCCGCAGCTCCAGGTGACAATTTGATCCACCATCAATTATTATCGTTATTTGCTGCAGTAGTAGTAGTAGTAGTAGTAGTTATACTACTACTGTTACGATGATACAACTAATACTATTACTACTCATACTTCTGCTATTAAGCAATAATAATTAAAAGTATGTTTCTTTTTGTTTCTATTTCCTTTTCTCTCTAAAACATTTCGCTTTCCTATACCATTTTACAAGTCATTTCTACAATGATACTAATAATATCTTTGGAAATACAAAGAATTAAAAGGAAAAAGATGAAAACAATGATACTAAATGAAATGTACAATTCATTGTACAAGGACACGAAAATAGAAAGGAGTGTAAGACAAGAATGCGTCTTCTCGCCGGACTTACTCAATCTATTTAGCGATGTAGTTCTAAAAGAACTAGAACTCCTATCGGGATTTATTATTGGTGGATCATCAACAATATCAGGTACGCAGATGTCACCGTGTTGATCAGATCGTTTAATACATGAATGACGAGGCAGATTTTTTCCTGCAGTAGATTGCCATTTCTTTCTGCGGTAGACCACTTGCCATCCAAAGCCTGTCCTGCTATTCGCTCATAGCTAGGGGAAAAGAAGATGATCCATACCTTTCCCAAGAGTCTGAGCACGTAAGTGAATATAATGGATCTGACTGGAATTCGAACTCGGCTATCCGATTCCTCAATCCATGCCGCTATCCATTAATCAACCGTCAGATAATTACCATGGACGTATTTATAGAAAAAGCAGTGGGAAGCTACATTAGAGCAGTGGGGAAGAGACTGGAGTCGAGATGCCAGGTCAGGATCAATGACATTGCAGTTTATTCTTTGGACTATATCAACGGTCTCTAGCGAGCTTGATTAAATGGATGGCGATAGCAAAAAGAGAAAAAAACTATTAAGATTTATTCGGATTTTATCAATGATCTCTAGCTGGAACGTCAGGCAGAATCAGGAAAAGACAGATGAATTTTTTAGGAAATATATTGAGGAAAGAAGGCTTAGAATATATGACAATTCTCCGTGTATGTGTTTATGTGTGTGTGCGTGCTCGCGCGCACGTGCTCGTGTGTCTGTATGATGTCTGACAAAATCGAAACAGCTAATTCTGGAAGGCATGTAAGACGAGTGGCAATTTGAGCATAAAGGAAATGTATATCCCGCTTTCTGGACTACTATGTAATATCACCCCCCCAAAAAAATGACAGTGAGTGCTGGACAATTCCTTCAAAGATGGACACGTAAATCAATAGAGATGTGATCCTACAGAAGGATGTTGAGACTCATATCTTTCCAACGCATATTTGCATGAATTTTTTTTTTTTATTCGTTTCCTACGGTTTATCAACACTTTGCAGGGTTTTTTTAAAGCCAGAAAATGTTTTTGGCTTGAAAGTTTTTTGTTTTTTGTTTTTGTTTTTTGTTTTTAAATAATAATAATTTAGCGATACTGTTATATGGGAATAAAGTGTCGCTACTGACACTTGTGTTTGAACCTAGATCGCCAGTGAACAAACACAGACTATCTCATTACTGCACTAACTAGATCACGTGACCATTGAGGAAACGCATATATAGAAGAATTCGCGTGATGTCTAATTTGTTCGCTTTCTCTAGTCTATCCTCTATTACTATGCAGACCGCTATTCTCTGCTCTATTCATTATATGAATTACTATTAGTAGTAGTATTATTCGAAGGCGCCTAACATCAGTATTGTTCAACGACATACTATAGTTGTATCTGCGACAATAAGTTCTAATATGTTGACGTTGACAAATTGGCAAGCAAATGTACGTTTGAGGTCATGAAAGATATAAGTCTTACTAATTAACCCATAGCTGGAGGGGGAAGAGGTGGTTTCATACTTTTCCCGTAATTGAATATAACGAAGCCGTCTCGGCGGTCCGATTAAAAAAAATCCGGGCCATTATACTTTATACCACCCACACATTGAAGCTTACAGCACATGATTTTCCCAAACGGCCACCCAACGAGGTAATGACCAGGCTCGACGTTGCTTAACTTCAGTGATCGTACGGGAAGCTGTGATGCGAAAGTGAATGTAACGAACTCAGCCGGAATTTTAACTCGATTCACCGATTTCTCTTTTATACATTCGATTAGTTCTTTGTCTATCCTTTCACCCCCAAACAAGGAGATAAAGCCACTAAGACGCAAGTGGTTACTGAGTGTGAAAGTATAAGAGAAAAAAGAAAACATAATTAAGGAGAGAGAACAGGTATTGAGAAGACAAAACACAACGACTGACATTGCACTTAATTTTTAGTACTATTAGTCATAATTATTCACCTGCATGTTCAGAACAATTTTTAAGTGCCGGCCACTGAAGATTGAGTGTAGTACCCTATTCTTACCCATGAACACCCAGGAAATCTGTAATCAGTACCTCTTCCTTGGATGTCAAAGATATTATTTCTATGCTGTGAGAAGACAGCACACCAACAAAATATCGTTGCTGTACAAATATACAAAGCCCAATAAATCCATCGCAACTCAATCTGATCATGTTATACCAGGCGCATGTATCACAACCTAATTTGCGGGATGTGATAAGAGATTTTGATAAGATCAGTGCATCACCTTGAAGGTAGAGCCCAGTTAGAAATAACATCAGGTCGCGTAACCCGGTCGCTGATTGAAGGTGTTTCCAAGTGTCTTGTTAGGTCTCCTAAATTCCCTTGACCGCCTCATCCTTCAAGCATAAAACAATCCCACCCGGTAATGAGAATCCTCCACTGCTCGCAATGTTTTTTGTGTTTTTTGTTTGTTTTTTTTTTTTTGGGGGGGGGGGAGGTTTTTTTTTTTTTTTTACTAGAAGTATTAGTGTTCTTATTAAATTCGATTTTTTTTTTGGTGGGGGATTCTTTTACTAGCAGTACCATTGTTATTAGTGATTCGGATTTTTTGTTGTGGTTCTTTTACTATAAGCATTACTGTTCTTATTTGTATTTTTGGGGGGGATTAGGGGTTCTTTTACTATAAGTATTATTGCTATTATTGATTGGAATTTTTTGACGGGGGTTCTTTTACTATAAGTATTACTGTTATTATTAATTCGTTCATCATCGACATTAATCTCAAATCATGTGGGTCATTATCATCATCCTTAATTTTATTGTACACCACAATACATTTCTTTTTTTACATTTTTCTTTTTAAAAAAAAAGTCTGCGATTGATCAAGACATCGTGAACAGAGGGTAGCACAGAAATCAATTTCCTACACAATATTTCACATTCATCATTGCTGTCACGTGAATGTCCCACAGCTTTCGCGTGTTAGTAATAATGTGTGCACACAGCCATTTTTGACGCACGGCTTCTGCCATTTTTTTTTCCCTGAGTTAATGGTACCATAGGTCTTTACACGTTTGTGTGACATGGACACTAATTTCGATTTTCTTTTTTTTTTTTACAAAGTCTTCTATTTTTTTTAAACTTATTTTAAACCTTCCTTAGCCTCTTATTTATTATTTGAATTTGTTCAGTTTTTAACTGAGAAGACTGAAGTCTGCGTCGGATAATTGACATGTATATATGTATAAGCAAGATATATATATATATATATATATTCTGAATAAATGTACCACTGAACAAGTGAAAAATTGCAAAGAACGAATTTTTAAATGGAAAGATGATGTTGGCTTGGTTAATTTCGCAACTATTCAACTTTTGGTGGGTCATTTAAAGTTGAGTCTGTTTTCTTGTCATTATGAAAGATTCTATATCTCAAACATTGATCGACTTTATTCCTGAACCTATACTCAGATATTGGTTGGATTGATGTGCGAGTCGATATGTGGATACGTAAACAGTGGTCGAGTTTATGTCAATGTCTATATACTCACTCATTAGTCAGTATTATGCGTGAATCTCTACTCAATCTTTAGTGAGGATTATCCTGTGTCTATATTCAATCTTCAGACAGGATTATACCTGAGTATATGCGCAATTTATTAGTTGGATTATGCATCAGTCCATAAGCAAACATTGACCGAGTGTATGCGTGAATCTATATGCAAATATTTGTCGGGCATATGCCTAAATCTATACGTAAACTTTGGTCGGGTTTATGAAAGTATCTACCTAGACAGTGAAAACTTTTTTTGGTAAAGGTTTTCTTAGACCTCTGGAGGGGATGCATTCGATATTTTTTCGGTCTCGCCTACAGGGCAATTAAAATAAAGAAAGACTAATGAGATACAGTTCCATTTTTCCATATAAGAAAGAAAGAAAGAAAGAAAGAAGGAAAGAAAGAAAGAAGGAAAGAAAGAAAGAAAGAATGAAAGAAGAAGAAAGTGAATTATGAAAATTCGAAACGAAAGCGAAAAATGAATAAAGCGTGTGACAAAAATGTCACTTACAAATACCATCAGGAAGAGACAGTTGAAAGTTCTATGGCACATAATGAGGAAAGAGGGCTTAGAAATTTGATTCACACAGGACAAATTGATGGTAAGCGGGACAGAGTAAAATAAAAAAATTCCTATTTGGGTTTTCTAATGAATCGCAATTCTTAATTTAATGATTATATAATCTCCTTGTGAGATGCCATCCTGGGTATGACGATAAACTCCATCCGCGTCCTGGGTAAGACGATAAACTATGTCCAACAGCAAGGCCTCTGATCAGGTGCTTTTGAACAGCGTGGAACCACCTCTTAATTGCTGGTGTTCCCAGGTCCACCCTGACCTGGTGTGGTAGCACCTGTTAGGCCCCCAACTATGGGAAAATAGTTAACCCGCAAATTGATATCGAAACACTATATAAGTGTAAAAATAGGTTTTAATACCAGAAATATTTTGTAAAAAATATTATTACCAGCAATACATTTTTGAAATTTTTAAAGGAAAAATTTTATCAGCTATAAAAATTGTCGGCATTAAATAACCCATTGACATTGATATGCCGTAAATCAAACCAGACTAAACCAAACCTAGTGGGATGCACAATTATGAGATACTTGTGGAAATTCCTCTATTAAAATGTTACATATTTGAGCTTAAAAATGTATTTCTTATTATGTATTTTATCTTTCTTCACTAAAACCAAACAACGTCTCACATATATCTTTTTTCTGACTTTCCTAACAATCAAAACAGAAGGGTCCATTATTTATCTGTGACAAGGCGTAACACACGCGCTGACTGGCTGATTGACTGACTAATAGAGGAAGAAGCAGGATAATAATATAATAGTAGCAGAGAAGATAAACCTATTCTCGAAGGTATATCGTTATGTTTCGTATATTTCTCTGTGTAGTAGCCAGTTACGTTTAGCAAACGGGTTCCCTAAGCAATACTGTCTTGTTCACCATTTGTTCTCTATTTATGCTTGTCTATCTCATTTGCATATGATACTACACCTCCCTGAATCGGAGACGTGGTATACCCTTGTTTTTTCTTTTAATATTCCTGATTATTCTTGTATTGTGCTGCTGTTCCTCTTTTTTATCTTGTTTTCTATTTAATGGTGATCTCGTTCTCCCCTCCTTTGTCTTTGTGTCTTAATTCTTTTTCACTCTTGCAAATGCGGCAAAATCTCTTATCCATGTTTCTATGTGTTCTGGGTCTTTCAGCGTATTTAACGATCATATTGGCGACGCCATTTTTATGTTTGGTATATCTCAGTGTGTAGTTGCAGTCGTAGCACAGTTCTCCGCGTTACGTTTAGCAAACGGGTTCGCTAAGCAATGCTGCCTTGTTCACCCGTTGTTCTCTATTTATGCTTGTCTATCTCATTTGCATATGATACTACATATATGAAAAGAAAAGGTGTTTTTTTCAAAATGATCCACTCTATAGGTGCCAAAACGCATAACAGTCAACTCTTTGAACATTGAATGTAATTTACCCAGCAATGATTAAAACTGTTAATACCTTTATATAATGGATTTTACTCTTCACTTTTTAAATACCGTATCACCTAAAGATGTAGGTGATCATGGCTCATCACGTAGTCTTTTTCTTTGGTCTATGTGTATTGGATTTTTTCCTTTACCTTTCCACGATTTTAAATCCAAAATTGTCCTTCTGCTAGAGTGATAGCGTGCGTAGCGTTATCTGTTTGTGAATGTATATATAACGTTTCAGTAAGCAAATCGCAACAAAATTAGCAACATTTTGAAGAATATATTTGAACATACATTGTCCACCTACTAGATTAACTGTTACATCAGGTTAGGGAGCCCAGTTTATCCTCCTGTGGTGGGATGAGGAAATATGGATTCATGCCTTTTCAAAGTACATTAATGCGAACGCAACAGACTCTGCTTGTCTTTTTCACGTTCTGCACACATAGATATGGACTAACTGAACACACATAAAATCTACCATTGTAATTTATTCTTAAGAATAAGTTCCTATTCCATATACTGAAGTTAAGCAACGTCGATCCTGGTCAGTACCTATAAGGGTGGCTGTTTGAGGATATCAAGTGCTATAAGCTTGGATATTCGGGTGGGGTAATGAATAATAGCTTTTCAATGGGAGTACCAAGTTCAAATTCTCGTTGGATTTGTTATATACACTTAGGTGTAAATACCCTTGGGAGATGTATGAATCTATAGGGTGTTCTAATAACTTGGATCGATTTTAAATGTAAATTAAGTTTAAGTGTCTATTGATTTTTTTTCTTTCAGATTTAAGTCTTTGGCAATTTCAACGATGGAAAGATTAACAATCAAACAACGTGTTAAAGTTATCGAAGCCTATTACAAAAATGGACGTTCAAACAGAAATGCATTTCGCTCCCTTCGCGATTTTTTGGTCAAAATAATCGACCAACCGAGAGTGCAATGAAAACACCATTGGCAGATGTGAAAACACCATTGGCAGATGTGAAAACACCATTGCGTGCTCGTTTACGCCGTTCAGCTGAAAACATCGCTGCACTGCACGAGAATGTGGCCGAAAATCCAGACACCTCTCTTCGTCATCGCGCTCAGGATTGAACCTCTCTACTACAACTTTACATCGAATTTTGACAAAAGATTTGTCTCTAAACGTTTAAAAAATTCATTTGACACAAGAACTGAAACCTGCTGACCATTTGGTGCGCCGTACATTCGTCAGTTGGGTGCACGAACAAAGGCAAATTCGATAAAGATTTTTCGCAAAAATCACCTTTAGTGATGAAACCCATTTTCATTTTGTTGGATTCGTTAATAAACAGAATTGTCACATTTGGGCTGATGAAAATCCAAGGAAGATTGTTGAAAAACCACTGCATCCACAAAAGGTGGCTGTTTGGTATGCATTTTTTGCTAGTGAAATCATTGGGCTATATATTTAAAAATTTGAACGTCCAATTTCGTAAAAGGCTTCGATAACTTTAACACGTTGATTGTTAATCTTGCCATAGTTGAAATTGCCAAAGACTTAGTTGTTAAATCTGAAAGAAAAAAAAAATCATTAGACGCTGAAACTTAATTCACATTTAAAATAGGTCCACGTTATTGGAACACCCTATACATCTTCTCCCCACCCCAGCTACAAATAAATTTATAAAACTTGTATCACTAAACCATTATTATCTCAAAAATACTATTACAATCTAAAAACATTTTCTGGCTTTAAATAACCTGTAAACCGTTGGCTGTCTGGCTTTAAATAACCTATAAACCGTTAACCGTCTGCCTTTAAATAACCGTTGATAAAACCTAGAAAACGAATCAATCAACCAAGAAGTAATGGTATTTAATATTATTATAGTTTTATAATGTATAGAATCTACCATGGCCACAAAATGAAGAATCGTTTATATATTGATTGTAATATAGAATTGATCCCCTACTTTATATTCAGGAGAATAGTGGCTCGCATTGAGGAATCAGAGAACCGAGTTCGAATTCCAGTCAAATCCATTACATTCACTTACGTGCTAATATTCTTGGGAAAAGTATGAATCATCTTCTTCTCCCTCCAGCTATGGGTAAATAGCAGGACAGACTGGGTTCTATAGCCTTGGATGGCAACTGGTCTACCACAGAAAGAAATGACAAGATAATGTGGGAAAAAATCTGTCTCGTCAGTCATGTATCGAAAGATAAATGAAGGCCTAAGTGGGTATCATGCATTGCACATAACTGACTTTATATTCACATTATAATTTCTTGTTTGCTCATCAAATTCTGATTAGGTATAAATTCACCTCTTCTCCCTCCTAACTATTAGTAAGACTCGTATTACTAAAACATTATTATCTCAAAAAAATTCTTACAATGTAAAAATATTTTCTGTCTTTAAATAACCTGCAAAGGGTTGATAGGCCGTAAAAAAAAAACAATCACTCAATCAATCAAATATTCTTAAGAAGCTTTCCTCAACTGTTACCGAGAATTAAATTTTCTCCTTGTTTGTTCCAAACGTTCTGTGTAACCAGAGAGCCGTCACTCAGCTCAACGAATGAAAATGTGCCCTTACAGAAACTTTATAAATCAGCAAAGAAAAACTCGTGGAATACGGATTTATCATAAGACGATTCGACATAGCAGATTGACCTTACGAAGAATCACTTTATTCTACAAATTATTTTTATCTTTCTACTTTACTCCTCCTCCCTTATAGTACAACTATCTCCCATTATAATACTCTTTCTTTCCCCATCTCTCTTTTTCTTTCTTCTTCGTTCCCTCTCTCTTCAAAGTCTGCATTTCTTTCCACTACCCGTTTTCTGATCTCTCGACAATCGTTTAACTTTATACCGCATTTCGCACATGTTCCCGCCATCCGCATATTTTCCCGCCATCCACATATTTTTCCGCCATCCGCACATTTTCCACTACGACAGATCCTTCTCCTTGCCACCACGATTAGCACTTTTACTTCGATTATACGGAAAGATTTTCACACGCCTTTTCAAAAATATTCTCCCTCACTCATTCTCCTTCTGATTGCTTTTTCTCTTTCTTCTCATCTCTTTTGCATTCATTTAATATATCTCTCTCCCTCTCTCTCCCTCTCTCTCTTTCTTTTTGTCTGAGGGTTGATTTAAAAACTTCACTATTACTATTAAACTGTTACTCTTTCAACACGTTTCCTTCTATTTGGAATCACTATGTTTTTCTCTCCCTCTTTCTCTACGGATAGATAGATAGATAGATAGATAGATAGATAGATAGATAGATAGATAGATAGATAGATAGATAGATAGATACTTTCCCCAACGACCATTTCATCCTATTTTCAGAACTGTCCTACCGATCATTCTTTCTCCTCTGATGTAATCGTTGGCCGGGAGCGAAGTGCACTGTTCCACCAAAACGTGGACACCATGTCATTAGATGTAAATGTCATGTTTTCAAGATTTTTTTACTGAAGACTTCTGAGCTCTTCCGCTCCCTGCTGTGTAATTAATATCTAATTAGATTGGCAAACATATTTGCCCCCTTCGAATAAGTGAGAATTTGATTCAGTTTAAACATGGATGCGATGCACTGGTACACAATTCTCATATATACATACATATATGCTTGTTTGCGGATAGACAGACGGACAGTTATAGATAGATAGATAGATAGATAGATAGATAGATAGATAGATAGATAGATAAGCTTTTTCTACACATACACGATTGATGATTATTATTATAATTATTATTATTATTATCTCCGGTCAACATAAATCTCTAGCTCATCTCGGTCAATATATATATATATATATATATATATATATATATATATATATATATATATATATATATATATATATATATATATATATATATATATATATATATATTCGCTTGAGGATGAAATGGAACTAATGTCTTTAATTTAATTACAAAAATTAAATTCAGGGCTTTTAGATTCTATTTTTGAAACATGGTTAGAACTGTGTAGCGAAAAAAACATATTTTAAATCAATTAATTTATAATATTAATGCTCTGTAAATTTACATTGAGCACTATTTTGTAAAAAATAAAAAAAAAAAAATAAAAATATCTATAAGAACACCGGATTATATATCTTACTGTTCTTTCTTTTTTATTTTATATATATATATATATATATATATATATATATATATATATATATATATATATATATATATATAGATTGATAGATATTAACAGACTCTCTCTATATTTATATACATATATTTATATATAAATAAATATATTTATATGTAGTTAGACAGATATTAACCGATCTCTCTCTCTCTCTCTTTCTTTCTCTCTCTCTCTCTCTCTATATATATATATATATATATATATATATATATATATATATAGAGAGAGAGAGAGAGAGAGAGAGAAAGATTGATGCGTGTAGTTTATGATACCAAATGTCGAGTTGAGTGCTATGCAAATCTTTTAAAAGCCGAAAAAACAGCTGCAATAATCGAAACAGAAAGAAAAAAAAATAGTGGAACGTTATAAAATATAAAAAACAAAATAAAAAGGTCATCAAGAATAGAACAAAACTCCGAGGGCCATTTTCTTGGGAAACTATTGAAACTATTAAAAGAAGAAAACTTGAAAGTATTAAGGAAAGAACGAAAACTGAGATGGAAATATTTCAATCTTGAAAAAAAAAATGATAGGTTTAGGGCCGTACTTGGTTGTTCGGCATAAATGCTCTTCGTTGTGTCTGTACTGTTACACATTCTGACTTCTAGATATTTAGAGTATTTTATGTGCACTTTTCCAATAATATGCACACCGACAGTATTGCAGATATTCTTTAACTTGCACTTTCGTGCATTCATCATATGATATACATACACCAAACCGACGAAATATGGATAATTATTAAAGTATTTATTTAATAAGCATGCGTGCCAACATTTTCATGCAAAGACATTTCTTTGCAGACTAAGTTCATATTTTATAAATAAATTTGAAAACTCATTTCTTCTTCCACTCATACAAACACATCCTTAGAAGCTAAGTCTCATGCGCCTATCACAACAGAAAATTCAGTATTAGATTTATTACAATACACAAAGTATTTCCACGTTGCAACTCCCGTTTCCACAAGCAAAACTTTTCTAGCCTCTCGCAAATCTATCGCTATTCCATGACGCTTAACGGCCTTTTGACTGGGGTCAAATTCTTATATCTACCCTCGGATGGTACTATGTGAATTACACTCTCGAGTAGTTTGTAACACATTATTTATCATCTCTCAGTTGCGTCTCTGTCTTTGGGCAGAGTGCTCTCAGAAGACGGCTCCGTCAAAGGACAGAGTCGCAACTGAGGAAAATTATACTGAGAGGTGCCCAACCCTGGGGAACAGTTGCCCGAGGCAGCGCCCTCTCATTACACCAGAGAGATGGATCGGTGCTCGCACCGAGGCTAACGCAACCGACGGTTGCGGGGAGTGCGGGCAGTGCATACAGTAATCCACAACCCTATTTGCTTGTTTCGTTTTACGGCACATCAACACCTCAATGGGTTATTTAATGCCGACAAGATTTTTATTGCTGGTAATATTTTCGTTCAAAAATCTATTGGTCATATATTTTTCCTTAAAATATTTATTGCTTGTAATAGTTTTTTCTTAAAAAATTCATTGCTGGCAATATTTTTTTACAGAAATGTTTTACTGGTATTAAAACCTATTTTTACACTTTCATAGTGTTTTGTCCCCAGTTTGGGAGGTTAACTATTTGCCTATAGCTGGGATCCTAACAAGTGCTACCATCCCGGGTCAGGACGCACTCTATCCTGATTGACTCTTGTGCCTTGTATTGAATGAACAATAGTATAAAAAGTTATAACACGCACCAGATCTAGATGAATTAAAGTTATAGGAATTTTTCAGGAGCTTTTTTCGGGCCCCATTGGGGGAGTTTCGTAATAACCACGGTTGTCAACAAGCCTGACTTGGTACGAATATAAGCTGACGTTTACGAGTCCCGTAATCGATTAGGTAAACCCATGTACTACATCCGTAGCTGCAGTTGATGTGTCTGATGTCTTTCGAGATTGGTTGGCTTACCAAAGTTGAAGAACTCAGTCTGTCCTGCTAGTTAACCCGTAGCTAGGGGTGATAAATTCATCATTTTTTACAAGAGTATTAGCGCAAATTGAACGAAACAGTATCCACTGGAATTTGAAATCGGCTCGACAACTTCACTTTCGACCTCGATAGCCGTAACACTATCCTCACATTTATGAACAAGTGGAATAGCAATATAGACCTAAAATAAGATTTTTTTTTCAAATCAAAAGTTTCTGAACCGATCCATTATTCTGTTAGAGCGGCGCCATGAGCATGTGGGGTTTGAAATGTCAATTAGAGTCATGTTGGAAACTACAATTTTATTCCAGTTTCAAGCTACTTAAAATGGACCCCCCAACTATGAATTGACTGATAATTTTGTTATAAAAATTGTTTGTGTTTCCAAGTCTATAGGAACTTAATTTATCGTAGATACTTACCTTGTGTAGGGCTTCGTTCCTGCGCTGGTAGTATCGCGGATACGGCTAGTTTGGACCGGCTCGGGTCTGGACCAGCTATGACTAGCTTAGACCGGCTATGACGAGCTTAGACCAGCTCTAACCAGCTTGGCAAGCTAAGACCAGCTTAGACGAGTGTCCCGAGTGAAAACACTCGGGTCCTCACGTTAAAAAACGACCTTGTCTCACAACCTGACTTAGTTTCAAGTAAATATCAACTTAATTTATCGTAACCAGATAGACGCACACATGACGTGATCAAATGACATTTATTTTCTATTCAGTACTGGAATTCGAACTCAGATATCCGTTTGAGGAATGGTAGACAAGTTGCCATCCAATGCTATAGAACCCGGTTCGTCCTGATATTTACCCATACCTGAGGAGAGAAGAAGAGGATTCATACCTTTCCCAAGGGTATTAGCACGTAAGTGAATGTAATGGATTCGATTGGAATTTGAAATCGGCTTTCCGATTCCGAAATTCGAGCCACTATCCATTACTTCACCGTACCTCCCTCTGACTATCCTACACCCAGTTAATCTTGTTCACAATCCATTCATTCATTACAATTTGCTCATACACTTCAAGAACTCATTCATCACTATTCAATTCAACACACACCATAATACCGCATATTTACAGGGATCCTACTGAAACACCCATGGCATCTAAATATTTAAAATTGTTTTTTTTTTGTTTTTGTTTTTTTTTTTGTTTTTTTTTAAAATGACATGTCATTCGCAACAGACTCTATTTTTAATTCCATGAAAAGAAGCTGCTTACCAGTTTTTCATTGAATTAAATGATAATCCGAGTAAATACTTTTCAACCAAATCTATTCGCCGATGAAAAATGTGGTCTAACAGTGAATGAAAGGCAATCTCCTGACACATGGATAAGAGACTTGAAGCAACAGAAATGTGTTCTACAGAAGCAGAACATATGAGCAACGAAGAAGTTTTAGAAAAGAATGGAAACAAAAAGGAAACTTATATCTAACATCAAGAAGAGACAGTTGAAATTTCAAGGGAATATAGTGAGGAAAGAGGGCTTGGAAAATTTGTTACTCACAGTACGTATTGATGGCAAAAGGGAGAGAGGAAAACAACGCATAACATACTTATTGAGCTTGAGTAAATGTATGGCGAAACAAGGTTTTAGCAGAAATAACAAAAAGACGAAATTTACTAAGTGCTACAAAGGACAGGAAATTGTGGAGAGCCATGATAGCCTACGTCCTGAAAGGATATGGTGAAAAGAAAAAGAATGTTTTAGTAGAATATTACACCAGGAGAGTTTTTGTCGAGTATTGCTATCAATCAGTCTAATTATAAGCAATATTTGTTTAAATGAGTAATTTTTTTTTTTTCAAAAGATGTTCATAATAGGCACCTCTTTTCTCCTCACAAGATATATACTGAGTTAGCCACTTTTAACTGTCTCAAATTTTTAAAAACTAATTAAGAGATATTTGATCTGTGACATGTTTGAACATGTTGTGCTGTCAGTGGATAACGGCTCACCACCAAAAGGAGGTCAAAAGCATAATAGATACGAGGTAATAAGGGATATG